TATATCCCCATGAGTGGTATAGCTGGGTCTTGAGGTATGTTGATTCCCAATTTTCTGAAAATCTGCCATATTGATTTCCAAAGTAGTTGTGCAAGTTTGTGCTCCCACCAGCAATGGAGGAGTATTCCTCTTACTCTACATCCTCTTCTCCAGCATAAGTTGTCATTTGTGTTTTTGATCTTAGCCATTCAGACAGGTATAAGATGGAATCTCAGAGGATTGATCTTACTGCCTGTGCTATTATTGGTGTTCTGCCTGGAAAGTTTCCTCTTATGCTAATAAATTCAAGTGCATTCCCCCTTTCTCTTCTATCATATGCTGTATCTGGATTTATGATCATGTCTTTGATCCACTTGAAGTTTCGATGTAGTAAGTCCTTCTGTATATGTGTTACTTTTATTGGTAAATGAATAAAGAAGTTGCTTTGGCCTGTGATAGGGCAGAGTAGAGCTAGATGAAAATCCTAAACTGAAGGCTGAGAGAAAGAAAGCAGAGTCAGGAGATGCCATGTAGCTGCCACAGGAGACAGATGCACTGGAACATTGCCGGTAAACCACAAGCCTTGTGGTAAAATATAAAATGATAGAAATGGGTTAACTTAATATGTAAGAGCTAGCTAGAAATATGCTTAAGCTATGGCCAAATAGTATTGCAAATAATATAGTTTCTATGTTGTAGCATGAGGGCCGGCTTGTTGGGGTTTCTGTCCTGCCCGGTACCCCACAACCGGCAACTCCCAACGAAAATCACACACAGGACTCCATAAGATTATAAAGCTGATTGGTCAGGCTACTTATTAGCTCTTATAACTTATGTTACCCCATTATCCTTATCTACGATAGCCACATGGCTCAGTACCTTTCCCAGCGGGGCAGCTTACATCTTTCCTCTCCAGTGGTCTGGGCAGAACTGGCAGAGGGAGCTTCCTAGAATACTCCCAGTCTCTTTGCTCCAGTCTGGCTTTCCTGCCTATACTGCCTGCCTGGTCAATCAGCATTTTATTAAAATATGATTGACAGAATAGAGATAATTCTCCTGCACCATTTCCCTCTTTTTTTTTTAAACAAAGGAAAATACCCATAGTCCATTTGTTGGGAATGTGGCCGTAGTATTTCAGGCTACTTCCTGCTGGTTGGGGGCGCTGATGATCTTATGGGGACCTAAAGAAAATTTAGAGTTATAATCAAGTTCTGACTGGAGTATCCTGTGAGTCTTGATCATCTCAGGCAGCAGTCTCAAACCTGTTCTGGATGAAGAACTCTGTCATCTGGGCCATCTGTTCCTATCGAAGATTTCTCTTCCTTTATCGAACCTGATTTTTCTTAACTCAGAATGAATCCACAGCCTCTCATTTTCTGTGGAAACAAAAGCAAAATCTCTTCTCTAACGTAACATACCTTTTGACTTCAATTTTGAGGCCAAGGTATTTTCAAAATACCTATCTTGGATTAATTCTGCAGCATTTATAAACAAAAGTCTTTTAGCAGCTGTTGCTTCTTCCTCAGCATTCAAACAATTCAAAGAGAGCATAATAACACACAGTATCAAGATTCTCTGTGTATTTTCCATCATTATGTGGCTTTATTTCAACATCTATTTCTTTTATTTTTACTTTTAACTTTTGGCTTTTTGAGACAGGTTCTCTGTATATACCTTTGTCCTGGAATAACTCTGTAGACCAGGCTGTCCTTGAACTCACAGAGATCTGTCTGTCTCTGCCTCCCAGGCATCGGGATTAAAGGTGTGTACTACCACACCCAACTACTCTCTTTCCTTTTTTACTTTAAGAACTTTAACTTTTATCCTGTATATATTTTTAACACACTGTAAACCATTTAGAGGTTTTCTTTGTCTTTGAATCTCTCTTTACTGTATGTCTCTCTTTTTCTGACCACATGAGTCTTTAATGAGAGGATGAAAGCCGTGGCTTTGACGGCTGAATCCAGCCCATTCCTTAGCTTTCCAGCCTCGTGGCAGAGGAACTGCTGGAGCCATTTTTATCGCCACAAGTCTATGGCGTTTCAAAGCCCTTGCCAGCAAGCAAGTTGCAGCATTCTGCTCACAGACCACACTCAGTCGGATTGCCTGCCTGCAAGAGTCAGAGTTTGCCCTGGCAGGATTGCCCAGAAAGCTGACATTTTAAAACAGCACAGTTTTTTTCCTGCTACTGCCGAAAACCGAAAAGCATGCATTCAGCTTTTCATCAACACCGTTTAAGTGTTTCGTGGCAGGACCTTTTAATGAGCTGCAGGGTTTTGCAGCTAAAGCTGAGTCAGGAAGTCTCTCTTAGATGAGAGTGCTTGCTTTCCTCTAGTAAGCAGAGTAGACCCGAGAAATTGCTGCTACCAAGAAAACATGCTTTACTCTATTCTTTCCCAAGCTTTCTCAGGCTTTCTGTGGATTCAGTTATCCACGTGGGTGCCATATGTAACATGACAGCCAATGCACCATGGTGCGGGAGAATTATCTCTATTCTGTCAATCATATTTTAATAAAATGCTGATTGGCCAGGCAGGCAGTATAGGCAGGAAAGCCAGACCAGAAGTAGAGGTGGAGCAAAGAGACTGGGAGTATTCTAGGAAGCTCCCTCTGCCAGTTCTGCCCAGACCACCAGAGAGGAAAGATGAAAGCTGCCCTGCTGGAAAAGGTACTGAGCCATGTGGCTATCGTAGATAAGGATAATGGGGTAACATAAGTTATAAGAGCTAATAAGTAGCCTAACCTAATGGGCCAATCAGTTTATAACCTAATGTAGACTTTGTGTGATTTTCTTTTTGGGACATGTTGGTTGTGGGGTACCGGGTGGGACAGAAACCCCAACAAGTCGGCCCCTCATGCTACACTATGTGATTATTTTGGGTCTGGACAGCCAAGAACAAATGAGGAGTCTCTGCCAACAGAATGGCACCTAATGTGAGGCATGGATCCACATAAGACCAAAGAAACATTAAAAAAGAGGAATTCTAGACCCACAAAATGGGAGCCAAGCAGTTTCTTGCCCACTGTGCAAATCCTTTGAACAAAAGAAGAAAACTGCTCATGAGATGAAAATTAGTTTTTTTATTATTATTATTATTTCAGGGTGGGATAGAGAGAACAGAAAGAAATAACTCCATCCAACCGAGAAATGAAGGATGCCTAGGATTGAAAACTTCCAGGGCATATTCGATGAATCGGAAGTAAATGAATGTTTTCCTAAGGTTTATCTACAGCACTTACTTAAGTACCTCTGTCAGTTCTACTTCTCAACTGGAGAGGTAAAGACGAAGTAGAACAGTGAGAGCTATTTAAGCAGACAACTAAAAGCCAGAGGCTGCGGAACATTTAGACCTTTCTATTTTCCTAAATCAATTGCTAGAAAAAAAATCATGCATCTAAATACTAATTTTTTGGACATGCAAAGTTGGCATTTAAGCAAATTTGATGTCTTGTGACAAATTTCCTGCCTTCTGTCTAATATCATTATCTTTGCTTTTCAAGAATAATCAGGAAAATTGTACTCATTGTTTCAGAATCTATCAGTTATTCCAAGGCACAATAGAAGGCTCAGCATTTGCACGGTAGGATTTAAAGGATGTACTGAATTCCATGCATAGTAAAAGGTCATTTGGTATTGCCAGAAGGCTCTTGATGTTGGATAATTCAGCATCTCATAATCCACAGTCTAGCAGATTTGAACTTTAGGCAATTTGAACTTTTGGAAATTTTCTTCTTTACTGAGAGGAAATAAGCTTCCACTATTAATGCTAATCATGATTTCTGGAACCAGACATATGAAACTGTAGGTATTCTTTATTTAGCACCATGTATATAAGTCAACACTTATATGATAATTGCATTATATAATTACATTATTACTTGTCTGTGGTTAATTCTTATAACTTGAGCAGGTAGGTATTTTCATCCTGTTTAATGAGTAAGAATTGAAGGCTGAGTATATGGCTTGATGGTTAAAGTTTCTTCCATACAAGCCTCAGGACTAGAATTCAGAACCTAAGAGCCTAGGTAAAGGCCAGGTAGGCATGACAGCCCATCTGTAACTTCAGAAACAGCAGATCCTTAGGACAAGCTGTCTAGTTAGACAAAACTGTAAAGACAATTCCTATGTTCAATCAGAAGGACATCAATTGAGAGAGACAAACATCTACCATCAATCTTGGGGTTATACATGCATGCACACACATATACATGCAAACATACATTCATAGTGCATTCACACCATACATTCACAGACATCAGAAACAAACAATAGGCAAGAACTAAGAAGTGAATTTATATTTCAGAGAGAATTGCTGCCTGAAAGACTGGGATTTGAACTTTGGTCTGAGTGATTTTCACCACTCAACACTCAACTCTGTTTTTTCATGCATTACTCTCTTCTTCTTCTTCTTCTTCTTCTTCTTCTTCTTCTTCTTCTTCTTCTTCTTCTTCTTCTTCTTCTTCTTCTTCTTCTTCT